CTCTCAAACAGATAGAGGGATCGTGAATCCTACTTACAGTCAAGAAGTTGAATCGATGGTAGATCCTTCCTTACCAAATGAGTCAGGTAAACCTAATCCCAATCTTGATCTAGATGTACTAATAGCTTTTAGAAAGGGTGTTAAGTCTTTTACTCAACATCCTATTTCTAAATTTATCTCCTATTCATATCTATCACCTTCATTTCAGACCTTTACCTCGAATATTTCTAGTGAGAGAATTCCTAGGTATATTGAGGAGGCATTATCTGTTCCTGAATGGAAAGTTGCAATTGTTAAGGAAATGTATTCTCTCAAACAAAACAATACATGGAGCTTGGTGGAATTTCCACACGAAAAGGTATTGTAGGGTGCAAATGGGCATTTACAGTAGAGTATAAGGTTGACTGTTCTGTGGAGAGACATAAGGTTCTTCTGGTGGTCAAAGGTTTTACTCAAACGTGTGGGATTGATTGTATTGAAACCTTCACTCCTATCGTAAAACTCAATACCATCTGAATTCTACTCTCATTGGCAGCTAATTTAGATTGGCTTCTACATCAACTTGATATAAAAGAATGCATTCCTAAATGGTGAACTTGAAAAGAGGTTTATGTGTGTCAACCTTTGGGTTTTGAAGAAGATTTGGGGAGTCAAAACTGTTTGTAAACTCAACCATTTCGCGAAGGTAATCAAGAATTATGTTTACACTCAGGGACAATTTGATCATACATTGTTTGTCAAATACTTTTGAAAGAAAAAAGATAACCATTCTACAATTTGATCATACATTATTTGTCAAATACTATTGAAAGAAAAAAGATAACCATTCTAATCATGTATGTTGATGATATCATTGTCACTGGAAATGATAGTGAAGAGACCCAAAAAATCGAACAAATGATGGCAAAAAAATTTAAAGTTAAAGATCTTGGAGCATGAAGATACTTGATGTAGTGCGAATAACAAATAATGAAGAAGAAGGAGAAAGGGGAAGGAGAAGGGGGGAGCCGAGAGGGAAGGTAGAGAGGGAAGAAGAGAGGGGAAAAACGGCTGCAAGCCAAATCTTTAATTAATCAAATTCATCAACTCAAATAACAATGTAAGATAGGTTTAAATACTGGAAAATAATGCAAACCTAGGGTCAAGCCCAATACACAAGTCCATAAAATTAAAATAACCTAAATTCCAACTAAAATAATTAAAATTGCTAAACTTAATTAAAATTGGATGTCCTCATCAATTCTCCCGGGGTGGGAGAGAAAACTCGACCCTGTCGAGTGGCTATATCACCATAGGCATCTGTCAATCTCCCAACCATAAGTTGAGTGGCTGGGCAAGCTTCTTCCTGCGTCTGTAGAAATGCGTCAGTGGCGGTCTGAACCTAGTGTCCTCACCAACTCCCCTCGGGTGGACGGGAGGCGATCTGGGCCAAGGAAGATCCTGCTGACTCCGGTAAAACTCTAGCAAATCTGGATCCAAATGCTGTAGTGTCTCCCTGGAGATCCATGCACAATCAGAATCTGGTCGACCAACCCAACGAACAAGAAAGCGCTGAACCTCTCCATCATTAGTGAACACAGTTTCTTCATCTAAAATAGCATCAATTTTATCTGTGTGTGCTGTGAGAGGTGGTAGTGGGTTAGAGGGGGCCAAAGAATTAGGATCAAGGTCCACAAAAGGAGGTAACAGGGGATCATCTGAGGGAATGAAATGGCCTTTATAAGCTACAAGGTCTTCAACATTGAAAGTATGGTGGTAACCAATGTGGGATGGAATGTCAACAATATATGCATTTGGACCAACTTGCTTTAAAATTTTAAAAGGACCAGCACTGCGAGCTTGCAATTTGGAGGCGGGTCCATGTAGACGCCGCTCTGACCTAATGTGAACCATAACGTAACCCCCAACATTAAACTCAATATGTCGTTTATGTAAATCAGCTTGTAGTTTATAATTTGCATTACTAGCTTCAAGTTGTTTATTGATCTCAATGTGCAAATCACGAAGGTGTTGTCCAAATGCTTCGGCTGATACTGACACTCTAGCCTGTGGGGACATAGGGATGAGATCTAATGGTTTCCTAGGTTTGTATCCGTGAACGGCTTCAAATGGACTCATACCTAATGAACGATTTACGGAGCTATTATACGCGATTTGAGCGACAGGAAGGATTAAATCCCAATTTCGAAGGTTCTCCCGGACCAGACAACGTAATAAGTTACCAAGACTCCGATTAACAACTTCGGTCTGACCGTCAGTTTGAGGGTGGTAGGCTGTAAAAAATTTTAATTTGGTACCCATCTTATGCCACAAAGTCCTCCAAAAATGGCTAGTGAAGCGAACGTCCCTATCGGACACGATGGTCTTGGGAAGTTCATACAGTTTGACAATCTCATTAAAGAATAACATGACAACCTTGGATGTATCCGATGTTTTGCTACAGGGGATAAAGTGAGCCATTTTCGAGAAACGATCGACAACCACGAAAATAGAATCATGCTTCTTTGGGGTGCGTCGCAGGCCTAGCACAAAATCCATACTAACGTCTTGCCACGGACAATTGGGGACGGGGAGAGGAGTGTATAGGCCTGTGTTCTGCTTCTTCTGTTTGGCCAATTGACAAGTGTTACATGTACTAACAATTTTAGCCACATCTCTCTTTAAACTAGGCCAATAGAATTGGCGTTCAATCTCCTCAATGGTCTTATCACGCCCAAAGTGACCGGCTAACCCTCCCGCGTGAACTTCCCACACTATAAAATCTCGCACTGAAGTTCGAGGGATGCACAATTTATTGGCTCGAAAGAGATAACCCTTCTCAAGTCGAAAGTCATCTGTGCTGTTTGATTGTCCTCCTTGTAAATCGAGAAAGATATCCTTAAAATCTGGGCATGCCTCGTGCCTTTCAAAACCAATGACTTTGACACTCATGATCGACAAAAGGGAGATACGACGACTTAACGCGTCAGCTGCTTGGTTCTCCACGCCCTTCTTGTGTTTTAAAACAAATGAATAGGCCTGCAAATATTCAACCCAACGTCCATGCCTAGAACTTAACCTCTTCTGAGAGTTGAGGTAACGGAGGGCTTCGTGGTCCGAATAAAGGACAAATTTTTGAGGCAACAAGTAGTGGCGCCAATAGCGCAAAGCCTGGATCACCGCATACAGTTCCTTATCATACGTTGAATATCGTCGTTTGGCCTCATTTAACTTTTCACTGAAATAGGCGACAGGGTGACGATCCTGACTTAGGACTCCGCCTATACCTACCCCAGAAGCGTCACATTCAACTTCAAAGACTTTGGAAAAATCGGGAAGACGCATGACAGGAGCTTCTGTCATTCGCTCCTTGATTAACTTAAAGGCCTTCGCCGCCCCGCGTGTCCCTAACTTAAAGGCCTTCGCCGCCCCTCGTGTCCAATGAAACTCCCCTTTCTTCATGCACTCCGTGATAGGCGCCATAATAGTGCTAAACCCTTTAATAAAACGGCGGTAAAACGTAGCTAAGCCGTGAAAGCTCCTGACATCATGAATGGCCTTAGGCTCAGGCCAGTCAATTATCGCCTGAATCTTAGTAGGGTCAGCAGACACCCCTGTCGATGAGACAATGAACCCCAGAAAAACTATGCTATCGGTGAAAAAGGAACATTTCTTGACATTAGCATACAGGTTAGTCTCGCGAAGGGTAGAGCAAACTTGTTTGAGGTGGTCACGGTGTTGCTCCTTAGTTTTACTATAGATGAGGATATCATCAAAGTAGACAACAAGAAATTTACCCATGAACGGCCGAAGAGTCTGTGTCATTACCCGCATGAAGGTACTCGGCGCATTACTTAGCCCAAAAGGCATGACCAGCCATTCATAAAGACCATCTTTCGTCTTAAACGTAGTCTTCCACTCGTCCCCTGGGCGAATTCTAATTTGATGGTACCCACTCTTTAGATCGATCTTTGAAAAGATTGTCGCGCCAANACCACCAAGACTGTTGTTAAATTTTATGCTTTGCACAAATTGGAATGCCTACTGAAATCTATATGGCTACCTTTTTATTTCTTTCTAATTCATAAAAAAATTCATAATATTTGATCATTTACAGATTGTTGGGCATTTTAAAAAATTTACAAGTTAGAATACTTTTTAGAAGCCTGAAAAATGTTACTTTTCTCATTCTTTTGATAGGTATGGGACTGTTTGAGTTGGTCTTATATTTAACTATGGTTTAGGTTGCTTTCTTCATATTAAATGGAGAACTCATCAAAAAACAAAACTTTTTTTAGGGAATAACAAGTATATCTATTTATGTTTATATCTTCAAAACACATCTTCATGAGTGGGTCATATTCAATTTTATTTTTTGCTTCAATGGCCTCACACAAAGAAATTTTTATGAGTGACAGTGATAATTGAACTGTGGATCTTTGTGTGCCTCTCTTATCATATTGAATGGTTAGTTTATCAAAAAGTTTAATTTGTCTAAGAAGGGAAGAATGTTTTTATTTATATTTACATCGTCAACCTATCTAATCATGTGCATACTCGATTTATTTATTTTCTCCAAGCTCTTATACATTGATTTTGATCATTGGCTGCCAGTAAGACTTAAGCTTTGACTTTCTGTGCTAGCTACTACATTAAATGATGATCTCATCTAAAAGCTTAAACTGATGTTAATTTATTTAGCCCCTATTTGAGCCCCTTTTTTTGAGAAATAGATTTTGTAAAATTATTATCATTATTATTATTATTATTTTTTTTGGAGAATGCATGCTTAAAAAACATGGAAAAGTTTTTGGTTTACGTGCAAAACTATTTTATTGAGAAAATGTGTGGTTGAAAATAGATTTGGGAAAAATAAGTTTTAAAAAATGGGCTGAAACAGGAGCTTATTTATATTTATATATTCAAATGTGCTTACTCACTTGTAAGTCCAGTTTATTTTTTCTCCAATGTCTTGAAATGTGGAATTTTCATAAATAGGAGGCAGACTGGCATGAACCAAGGAATTTTGTCTACCGTCGATATTATGATGAAACGGAAAATCTACAAGCTTAAATTGTGATAAGAACATATATTCCCCTATTTCTATGTAAGGATTTATATCCTAAATGCAGCGAAGTTGGCTTTTCGGAGCTCTTTGCATTTAATTATTATTATGGCTCCGTATGCAGCGTTGTTACTAATCGATTAATTACAAATTGTCGGCTTATGTATTCTATACCACTTGGGATAAACACATACTAGAAATTTCGTTACGCACCATTGTGAAATGTGCATTGGTTTTGTAGAAAATGAAGATACTATGACTGGACTGAATTTTTACAATTAGTCTGTTTGTGAATGAAAACGTCTTTTTTCTCTTCGAATTTTGTAGTCCACGAAGTTGACGTTTCAAGGCTCGGTGTTTGTGTGCCAACATTTGAGTAATGAACATTATCCCTTCCTGCTAGGTTTCACAAAAAAGTGGATATATAATAACCACTCTTCTTACACATGGTTACCTACTACTGTTGTGGCTGTTCATTTTTTTAATCATTGTTACTGTGGTTTTGGGTCTTTACAAGTGTTTTATTTCTTTATAGATCTGATTTTTTTCTTCAGCATTGAATTCTTTGATTAAGGAAATTTATACATTGATTTCAAATTTACAGGAAGTTGCCGTTAAAAAATTCCTCGACCAAGATATAACTAATGAATCCCTGGAAGAATTCAGAAGTGAGGTATAATTGCTCTCTTTCCTGACATAGTTACATTCTTTCAATTACAAAAGTATCCTTTCAATCCCATCAAAACTGTATGTAACATGATTTTGTTTTAAGATGTTATTATGATTAACTGTTGATAAACTTTTCTAAAGTAAGGCCTGTTGAGTACATTACTAGTTTTTCTTATGAAGATATTAGGTGTTTCCAAGTATAGAATTGCATGGAGAAGTCCCTTCTCTCCCACTTCACACCTCGGAATGCACCATTCTTATAGAGATTAATGCTCTTTCACATCTTCTTAACCCGAAATGAAATGGCTGAGGAGGAGAGAGAAAAGGTTGTGAGGAGGCATCCCTTCTCCCGAAGTTATGGGGCTATTTTGCCGAGTTCCTTAGAGAGAGTTGTCTCGCGGCCCTATATATTCTCTACCTACCCACCTGTGTCGGTCAAATTCATTTGAATGAAACTTTCCTTGTGAGTTCTTATAAAAAATGGACGAAGTAAAATGAAAAGGATTCCAATTTCGCGTCTTAAATGAAATGAGCAGACTATAATTTGGCAGTAATTTATGAATTTGATAGTATGGTAAGAAAGAAACAGTTGAAAGATCCTCTCTTTCATGCTAAATTATCAAGTATTTAGGAAACTTTACTAGAAACCATTATTTTTCTTGAATGGTTTTCTAAATCTTAAGCTTGTTTTCATAAGTTTATTGTTTTTCACTACTGGATTTTTTTTTTTAAACATTATATTTTCTATATCTATAAATAATTTCCATTCCTTTCACAACCACTTATTTTGTGTATTTCTTTTTAATTTTATGTTTTGGGCTTTGTATTTATGATTTGAAATAAATTATCCTACTTCCGTCTTTGCAAGGTCCGAATCATGAAAAAACTCAGACATCCAAATATAGTTCTCTTCATGGGAGCTGTTACTCGGCCTCCAAATCTTTCAATTGTTACTGAGTTTCTACCTAGGTACGCCTCAATTGCAAACTTTTTAGGCAATATAATTATTATTCTTTTTCCATGGTTTTATTTTGAATATGAAACTGTCAGTTAGTTCTAATATGCTCCAAGAACTTTAATCTGCTTCAGGGAATATCACTTCTGTCCTTTGAACTTTGGATATCTCTTCTAGGGCATGGCAATGGAAAGTTCATTTCAATCTTTTTTCCTTTTTCCTTTTCCCTTTTTATGAATTGTATGAGCCCTGTAAGCTGATTTAGTGCCTGCAGTTTTCCCAAATGTTGATCAAGTATATTGAAGCCAAAATTTATTTCATACAACCATGACAGAACAGTTAATCAATCTAAATTGATCCTTTAATAAATATTAACTTTCTGGATTGCTTTACAGTGATTCATTCACGTTTAATAAAGGGTTGTAGATTTCGTAAATTGAATATTTTTTTCTTCTATTTTTTGCAATATTTGTTTGAGGAAAATGAGTTCTTTTATGAGTCGTCGTAATGTTGACTTCAAATTGAAGCTATTTTGTGGTTACAGAGGTAGTTTGTATAGGTTGATTCATCGCCCCAATAATCAACTAGATGAACGCAGACGATTGAGGATGGCTCTTGATGCTGTATGCTCCTGTTTACTTAACTTCTAATTCTCTATCCGTTAGCAGCTTCTGATTTATTGGTGAACATGCTGGTGCTGATGCAGTTTACTTCATTTCACACAGGCTCGGGGAATGAATTATTTGCACAACTGCACACCTGTAATAGTTCATCGTGATTTGAAGTCTCCAAACCTTCTTGTTGATAAGAACTGGGTTGTGAAGGTGGCTTTCTTCACTGAGAAATGACAATGATACTATTATTTTTTTTCAATCATAATAAATCACATTTTATTTTCTGCTTCAAGGTAGCCGATTTTGGATTATCAAAGATGAAGGATAGCACATTTATTTCTTCAAAGTCAAATGCCGGGACGGTAAGCTGTTTTTTTTTAAACATTACATTTTCTATATCTATAAATAATTTCCATTCCTTTCACAACCACTTATTTTGTGTATTTCTTTTTAATTTTATGTTTTGGGCTTTGTATTTATGATTTGAAATAAATTATCCTACTTCCGTCTTTGCAAGGTCCGAATCATGAAAAAACTCAGACATCCAAATATAGTTCTCTTCATGGGAGCTGTTACTCGGCCTCCAAATCTTTCAATTGTTACTGAGTTTCTACCTAGGTACGCCTCAATTGCAAACTTTTTAGGCAATATAATTATTATTCTTTTTCCATGGTTTTATTTTGAATATGAAACTGTCAGTTAGTTCTAATATGCTCCAAGAACTTTAATCTGCTTCAGGGAATATCACTTCTGTCCTTTGAACTTTGGATATCTCTTCTAGGGCATGGCAATGGAAAGTTCATTTCAATCTTTTTTCCTTTTTCCTTTTCCCTTTTTATGAATTGTATGAGCCCTGTAAGCTGATTTAGTGCCTGCAGTTTTCCCAAATGTTGATCAAGTATATTGAAGCCAAAATTTATTTCATACAACCATGACAGAACAGTTAATCAATCTAAATTGATCCTTTAATAAATATTAACTTTCTGGATTGCTTTACAGTGATTCATTCACGTTTAATAAAGGGTTGTAGATTTCGTAAATTGAATATTTTTTTCTTCTATTTTTTGCAATATTTGTTTGAGGAAAATGAGTTCTTTTATGAGTCGTCGTAATGTTGACTTCAAATTGAAGCTATTTTGTGGTTACAGAGGTAGTTTGTATAGGTTGATTCATCGCCCCAATAATCAACTAGATGAACGCAGACGATTGAGGATGGCTCTTGATGCTGTATGCTCCAGTTTACTTAATTTCTAATTCTCTATTAGTCAGCAGCTTCTATTTTAATTGGCGAACATGCTGGTGCTAATGCTGTTTACTTCATTTCACAGGCACGGGGAATGAATTATTTGCACAACTGTACACCTGTTATAGTTCATCGTGATTTGAAGTCTCCAAATCTTCTTGTTGATAAGAACTGGGTTGTGAAGGTGGCTTTCTTCACTGAGAAATGACAATGATACTATTATTTTTTTTCAATCATAATAAATCACATTTTATTTTCTGCTTCAAGGTAGCCGATTTTGGATTATCAAAGATGAAGGATAGCACATTTATTTCTTCGAAGTCAAATGCCGGGACGGTAAGCTGGACTAACCTAATTTGTACTATGGCCTTTTCTGTCTCGTGCACTAA